TGAATTTATAAAAAAAAAAGCAAAAATTTAGAATCTCATTTCCGGAGCAAAGCCAAGGTCCAAAAGCTAGGTTTGCTATAATATAGTTAAATTTAATTTAATTTAAAATTCAAAATTTGAATTAATTTAAATTTAAAATTTTATATTTAATTAAATTTGATCTAATTTAAATAAATTTCACCTATTTTAATTTAATCATTTTAATATATAGGGATACCACCATGCGAAAATACTGTATAAATTTGTACAATTAAAATCTGGCTCACCTATCCAAATTTCTTCTTTTAATTCAAACCTCAATATGACTAGTCAGAATATACATAAACTTAAAACTGCAATTAATTATTATAAGAATAAAAACTATATTGAAGCCTTAAAATCCTTTCAGAATCTTGCTACCAGTGCATTTTCAAGCTCTGAAATCATTGACGAGGCCAAATATTATATTGCTCTTTGTTATATTCACGGGAAGGGCGTAGAACAAGATAGGAAATTTGCTTTGGATCTCGCAAAAGATGATTATCATGATTTAAATAAGTATGAAAATGCTTGGAATATTTTTTCAGAATTAGCCAACGATGATGAAATAAAATCAGAAGCTTTATCTATCATGGAATATTACTATAACAAAGGATATATCAAAACAAATGAAAGGCATATTTTTAAAATCGCATTAGAACTATACAGTAAAGACAAATATAAAAAAGCTTACGATATTTTTTTTAAACTTGCCGCAAATAGTAAAGATAAAGAAATTAAATTTCTTTCTACATGTTTAGAAGCATCTTATTATATCACGGGATATAATAGAATTGAGAAAAATAAGAATAAAGCATTTGAACTTATTCTAAAAGAGTCATCTAAATTTTAGAATGAAATGCCTATGAACAAAAACTGTTAGTTCTGTTTAAAATTAACTTTCCAGAATATATACAAGTTATATCACATATGTCGATGGCCAGCATTTGAGCAGAGGGTTATATTTATGATTATTTTAGTTCTAAAAACTTAATTGTTTTAAATATTTTGTTTTTTTATGTACCAATCGTTGGCGATGAGTAAAAGCGCCGTCACTATTAAAAAAATAGTGCAATGTATCTAAAAAAAGTGAAGAATAAATAAATAAGAATTTAAATAAATCGATTAAAATTATTAAATTGTCTTGTTCTTACGCATAGTGATTCTGGCCGATATGAGCTAAACCAAAAATTTCGGCTTAGCCAGTCGATTTTTTTCAAAATCGGCTAATCGACTTTATATTGCGATATCGCAGGTTAATCATGTGACCAAACGATTGTCATCGACCAATCAATCGCAATCACCTGATTTTTATCATATGATTGCGAACGATTTTATGCGAAATTTACAGACGGTTCTTAGGGACAGTGCATAGGGACAGTGCAATCACATGATATTATAAAACCAATCTACCTTAACCGCTAACCAACCGAGCACAATTCAATCACATGAATTTTCAATGTCACTAAGCACTGTCCGTAGATTTGCCAACGATTTTAATGCAACTTCGTGATCGCACAATCAGGTAACAATCAGGTAATTGCGAAGAGTTTGATTAAAATATGTCATTTTTGCAAACCGTGATAATTTATTTAAGTATTACTGTATTAATATATTC